TGGGGAGGGAGGGAGGGAGGGGATCCGGTGTGCTTGGGGCGCTGGTCCCTGCCGAACATGAGGACTTGAGCTGCCTCTGCCCCTCCGCGTGGGGATGCCCAACAGTTGCTTTACAAGACGAGCTCAGCGGGGCGTCTGGGCGGACTCAGCGGGTGCTCAGTGAATGGTGACTGTTGTGGTTATTGTCCTGGTGTTGACAGAACTGCGCGTGTGTGCCCTGCTCGTGCACAGTTCTGTGGGGACCAGTCTGATTCACTGTCACCCTCGCAGCCCCAGCATGACACTCACCTCCCCTAAATGGGGGTGAGCTCATAGAGGGGTGCAGGTGTTGTGGGGGAGGTTGAAAGCAGGGAGAGCAGCGATGGTTCCCCTCTGGCTGGAGCTCAGAGTCTGGTCCCAGCAGCTGAGGAGTGGACAGCCCTGATCCTGGACCTGAGGCCACAATTGACCATCAGGGCCCACTTCCTCCTGAGGCCACAGATGCAACCGTCAGGGCTTGTGGTCTGACGGGGCGGCAGCCCCATGGCTGGGCTCAGGCAGCGTGGGCCTCTGTTGCTCCATCAGATCGCCCTCCAAAGAATCTTAATTATTCAGGAAGGGCCCCAGGAGTGTTTTCTGGGGGACATTTGAGTAAAGAGCTCTTGACTTCTGGTTTCCTACAAGGTAAAAGTAATCAACTCTCATACGTTGCCAGTGGGTAAAAAGGCGCAGCTGTGGAAAACTCTGGCGGTGCCTCAGGAAAGTTGGACGTGGAGTTCCCACGTGGCCCAGCAATGCCACTCCTAGGTGCATACCCTGGAGTAGTGGGAACATCTGGCCACACAAAAGCTGATAGGGCAAAGAGCCTGCAAGCGGCAGAGCCCTGAGGGCTGGGGAGGATCGGGCAGAGACTCTGGGAAATGCGAGCGTTCAAGGCTCCACGGACACTGGGGAACGTAGAGAACCATGCGTGCCCAGGCCGCTCTCACGCTCAGAAAAGACCTGAGAGGACCCCGAGCTTTCACTTGGGGCTGAGGGCCGGCTCAGGGAGGGCTGCGGCGGCCACAGCCTGGCCGAGCTGAAGGGTTAGGGTTAACCACACAGAGCTCGGGACAGGTTCCGTCAGTGGCCAGATGTTGAGTTGATCTCACGCAGCCTGAGGTTTCAGCCTGCCCCGGGACGGGGCTCCCCCGCCTCCCCTCCATCGGTGGGACAGGCAGAGGGATGAGGGGACAGCCCTGGGAGCAGACCTTCCCCCGGCGGCAGGCTCTCCGTGGTGAACGCACTTGTGGGTTGGTTTGTGGACACGCCGCATCTGGCCAGCTGGCAGCTGTGCTGGCCTCCAAGCCAGCGCCTGTTGGGGGGCCTGTGCTGAGCCGGACGCTGCAGAAGTGAAACGTGCCCACCTGTGTAACGGGCTGGTCTCGAAGTGGCTCAGAGCCTCCAAAGAAAACCATGGTGGGGGGTGCGCGTAGCTGGGACTCTCGTGGCCCCTTGGCCGACGGTGCCCGTGTGCCTGACGCATGTCCTCGCCCCACACAGGAAGGACATCCCCACAGAGCACGTGACGCACACAGACAGAGAGCAGACCAAGAAGGTGGTGTACGCCGTGGTGTATGGCGCAGGTAGGCTGCCGCTCGGGCCAGGCTGCGTTCACGGGTGGCCGCGCCCCCAAGAAGTCACCTTCAGCCCCTGGAGCTTATTTTGTGAGTCCCTGTGTGTCTACACAGACGCCAGACGCCAGTCCGACCACCCGCAGCCGTTAGCTCACGCAGTGCTCACGCCAGCCTTCAGGCACAAAAGGGAGTGTCGCCAAAGTCGCCAGCCAGAGGGGGTTGCAGGGCCCACGGCTGTGCTGGGGCCATTTCTGTGTCTTGAGTGGCCCAAGGAGACCGTCCTCCCACTCCCCTCCTTCCCGGCCGCAGGGCCCTCGTGGGCTTGTTCTGTTGGTTAGAAGCAGAGGCCGGTCTGCCCACACTCCAGGGAGGGGTCACGCAAGGCTGTGAAGACCAGGAGCCGTGGTCCCTCCCTCTGCCCCCCAGCACTCCACTCTGCTCCCCGTTGCCCCCTTCCTCCAAGCACTGGCTCTGCTGTGCTCAGCTGCCCGCCCCCCTGCCCAGCGTGCCAGGAGGCAGGAGCTCCTGCCATCTCTGCCTGGCGCAGGGCAGGCACAGCCTCCCCGCTGAGCGGATGAATGAGCTGGAGGCTTTCCGCCCTACTTTTGAGAACATTCTGTGTACACAGTTTTCGGAAAACAGACTAAACAACTGAATTGGGTGGGTGACAGCAGGGTGACACTAGGCGGCTGCTCAGATTGGTTTGCTCCGTCGCCGGCTCCCGGCCTCTGCACTGTGCTCCTGAGCCTTCCTCAGTGGCTTCTGCCCTTTGTGTTAGATTTTGGTGCCTCCCGGCCTTGTCCAGAGTCCTGTGCTACAGGCGTATTGTTGACTTTGGCTCTGCCAGTGGACGCTGCTTCCCCCTCTTCAGCCCGCAGCCTGCGGGGGTCCTGACTCCCCTCCCGGCTGTGCTACCTTATATGAGGCCCTGCACCTCTCTGGGCCCGTCACCAGCTCAGGTGATGTGGCGGTAGGGTTGTTAGGGCAGCACCTGGCGCCAGCCAACTCCTCTTTAGCATCTGCCGCCTGGGTCCCCCTTCCGTTTAGTGCTGGGCCGGCCACCCCCCCATGACTGGCAGCGCTGTGGGTGGTGGGACGCCACCCCCGATCCAACCGGGAGAGAGGCTGGAGCGTGAGGGCTTCATGAGGGCAGCAGGGCCGCCCTCGCCCCCTGGTCCCGATGCTCCCACAGTCCACTCTCACTGCTGTTGGTTCAGCACTTTCTGGAACATTCACTTTATTTTCCTAGAGAGGAAGAGAGCTCTACTTTGCAAATAAGCAGAGTCATTAACCGTGATGTTGGTGAAAAGGGTAATTTGGCTGCTTTTAGCCCTGACAGTGACAGGATTCCCACCCCAAGCCTCCACCTCTGCTGTTCCCACTGTTGCTGTCCAGCTTCACAGCAATTCCTGTGCATCCGTGGTGTCAGCGCAGGGCTGGGGGGCCCCGCTCTCGTGTGCACCCGCAGCCTGTCGTGAACATGGGGCTCTCCGGGGCTGCTGGGCCCCTTGGGAAATTCAGCACAGGGCCTCCAACCAGCAGCGTCTCTGGACTGCACAACACGTTCTCACATGAACAGGGCTCTCGAGGTCCAGAAGCTGTGGCTCTGGCCGCTGGTGCACATGGCAGAGGCATTCGGTGGGTGTTCCCATAAGGGCCGCAGTGAGAGGCAGCGGGGGCAGCCCTGGCCCTCCTGCCGGCCCCTCATCCGTCGGGAGGCCTCTCCTCCAGACAGCAGCCCCTGACTCCCCCAGTCTTGCCGTGAGCTCCTGCTGCTGTCAGCTTAACACTCCATGTCCAGTCACGTTGGACCCGTAAGGACCACCGCGTGTGCAGTGCACCTCAGGCCCCACAGTGGGACCAGAAGGACTGTGGGAGGCAAAGAGCTGCTCCCAAAGGGCTGAGAGCTGTCAAAAGAGACACCGACCAGGCCCGAGAGTACCCCCGAGTGGCCAATGCCAAGGGAACCGAGGAATCCCCCAGCCAGATCTGACTGGGAGGGCTGGGCGGCCGCTTAGAGCAGCAGCCTGGGCTGAGTTTTGAAGAATGCGCAGGACTTAGACCAGCCGGCATTCCTGGAGGCCCACTGTGTGCCAGGTACCCACCGGGCCCTAGAGCCATGAGCAAGAGCAAGACCCTGTCAGCAGTGACGCGTGGGGTGAAAGTGCACGTGGAGGAGAGGGAGTGAGGACTGTCAAAGCTGTGACACACTCGGGTTCATCAGCCGTCTGTGGGGAAGCCAAGTTGTGTTCATATAGGATGGCAGAGGTGGGAGCCTCGTGCTCCCACCAAGGGGACCCTTACTCTCTGGGAGACAGGCCTGCAGGTGCTTACAGCTTAAACAGCAGAAACCTGATCAGCCGGGTCAGCATGTGGCGGACGGTTGTGTGAGGAGGAGCTGGCATACGTGAAGCATGGAACAGAAGCCCTTGCAGGGCCACAAGTCATCCTGCCACGAGGGGGGCGGGGGGGGGGCAGTGGCCTTTGAGTGTGACGGACCCATTGACAAGGTGTAGGGAACAAGAACCCAGGGCCGGGGGACCACACTGGACCTGGATTTCCCCCGGAGTCTCTGTCTCTACGGCTTTGGGAGCTGTCCCATCACTTGCTCCCATTGCAAACAGGGTTTCTGCAGGTACAGGGACCTTGGCCAACCTCTGCCCGTCAGATATCCCAACAGCCCCACAGAAGAAAGGAGAGGGATTCTTTCTCAGCCACAGGTATTGGGCAGTATGAATTCTCCTCCAGCCCACACTCTCACAGGTGTCAACTATAAAGCATGGAAAAATATGATAAACGACTGCCTAAAGGCGCGGAAAAGTGACCCAAAGCGGAAATTACAGGTGGGTTGACACTTGGAAGGAAGGAATGGTGCAGGGCGTTTCCCATGTGGTGACTCTCCCCCCCAAGACAGGCCTCCATCAGTGCTATGGGAGGCTAAGGCTCCACAGAAATCCATCATCTCACCGGCTTGAAGAGCCAGAGGGCAGATGGGAGCAACCAGAGAATCTGAGAGCGAAGGGAGCGATCTCAGAGGAGAGCCGAAGAAGAACCACTGCTGAGTGTGAACTCTGCCCAGATCCCTGGCTGACCCCTAAACATTCAGACTTTAAACAACCCAGCCAAGGCCAAAAGGACTGATCTGAGATTTCAGCCACTTCCCAATGCAGAGGGACAAAGTTTAACGTTTGACTTCAGTCAAATTAACTGCCCCCTTTAAAAAAAAAAATTGGTACTACTGAGGAAGGCACAGCAGAGCCCACAGTGTCTACAGCGTCTCATCCACGAGACCCAGGACACAGCCCCAAACTGCTAAGCACTTGAAGAAGCAGCACAACTTGACCCATGGCCAAGAGGAAAGGCCGTCGTGGGGGCAGATCCGAGGTGGCCCAGATGCTGAAATTAGCAGACAAGGATTTTAAAGCCCTTGCGATAACTGTGCTCAAGGGTGTCAAGGAAAATATGCTCATAATGAATGAAAATTAGGGCATCTCAGAAAAATCGAAGAACTGAATTGAAATTCTAAAACTAAAAACTGCAAGGTGAGAAATAGCAGTCCACTGGCTGGGCTTAGCAGCAGATGAGACACGAGGAGGGGCTTGGCCGCGGACAAGGCGCCAGGTCCCACCCGCCGGACCTGCCGAGTGTCGGGCCACCACCTGGTTCCTTCCCGACAGCCGGCGGTTTTCCGTGGGAGCCACAGCCGAGGCGCAGTGGCTGGGTGTCCCAGAAACAGGGTGTCACAGGTGGATTGTTCCAGCGTAATGTGCCCATGAAGCTATTGTGTGGTCTTAATCAAGCCCCAAAAGGGAAATTGGGGTGTTTTTTTTTTTCATTTCAAGCCAAATGAAGAGTCAGGCAGGCCCGGGCAGAGGGGAAGGACTGAGGGCTCCGAACTCTCTCTCTTCTGGGAGAAACTGTGGAGCACAGGGCACCCCAGCCTTCCCCACTCTTCCTGGCCAAGCACTGGAAGCAAACATCACCCCTTCCCTCTCCCACAATGTACACGCTCTGTCCAGAACCTCCAAAGGCATCAGCCAGCCGGGGCCCGCGGTGGCCGGGCTCAGGGAGGCCAGTCAGCCTCCTTCCTTCCGAGGTTTCTTCTCTGGTCGTATCTCTACCTCCGGGCTATGGCTTCTGGACCATGTTGTCTGAAGGCCCAGACCCACTCCTCCCCCCACCATGCTCGTGCTCTCAGAGCTCAGTCCCCGCCTGTGCGTCAGGCTGCCTCTGACCAAGGCGTTTCCACTCATGCAGGGAAGGAGCGGCTTGCTGCTTGCCTCGGAGTTACCCTGCAGGAAGCCTCCCAGTTTCTGGAGAGTTTTTTGCAGAAGTACAGAAAAATCAAGGACTTTGCCCAGGAAACCATTGCCCGGTGCCACCAGACAGGTGAGCCAGCAGCAGCCAGAGCCACTGGCAGGTCCCACCCTTCTCCCAAATCCAACCTGCTGCTCCAGTGGGCGCTGGACAGATGG